GGAGTACAGTTTTCTTGCGGAATAAGGAAAGGGTCGATACCAATGGCCGCTATTTTCTCCACATATCTTCTCCTTATGTTGCCCTGTAATGACTCGCCATAGGCAGACAGAATAAACTTGGAATTTGTCTCACTCTCAGAAGGACACGCTTCAGTTGCCACCATTATAAATAGAACATTACTCCTCCAAGATGGCGGCGTCTCGTTTTCGGAATTTTTGTGACGTCACGCGAACATACACTATATGCAAAGTAATTTTGAATAATCTCCCGAATATGAAACTGTTGTCTTTTGAAAGCAAGGCAATTTATTCTCATAGTCTTTCGAAGAATTTTATTTCCGAAGCTTACATCACTAGGGCGGTTGAGTATGTCTATAATGATCTCGTAACGATAATCAAAGCATTGTAAAATAAGATAGGAATGTTTTATTAAATTGTAAACCGAAGCATGTTAATTGACCGTCTTCATAAATATTTCCCTTAGCCAGAAAGGGTATTATTAAAAATTCAATGAATAATTATACCCGCGGGGGGGGGGGACTCTAGTATGAAAGGGGCGGGGATGCTCGTCGTCTTGCTTAGGGGTGTAAATTTCAGATTTCGGTCTCGCTTAGGGTGTTCTGGGCAAGACACCATTATATTTAGCCGTAAAGGTCTCTTTTAGGGTTGCACTTGAAGAAATGGTAAAAAATTATATATTTTCAATTCGTTTTATTTACTCCATTCATGTAATCAAAGTTTAAAATGATCGCTTTTAGGGGTCAAAAAAAAAGGTTGGGCCACGCCCAGATTGGTCTTCTTTAGGGGTTTAATTCCATATTTCCGACGAGCATCCCCGCCCCTTTCGAATGGGAGTCTCCCGCGGGTAATTATAGCACATCAGTGTCACGTGACCTAAAAGTATAGTGGAAACTCGATATGACGAAAGCATTTATTACTACGTCCTTGGTATAACAAACGATATTCTTCACACCAGTAAAGAGTAACGTCCATGGAAAATAACCCCCGAAATGTGGTTTAGTATAGCGAGCATATATTGGCATTCCCTTAACCATCGTCAGTTATATCGAGGTTCCATTGTATTCGGGAAATCAATTTGACTCATCATCCCGGTCACGGTCATTCGAGGAACAGCATTGCAATAACGGAAAGAGATAATTCCGTTATTCACGTTGCATTACATTCCCAGAATTGACCATAACGGGACATGTGATAGAAATATTTATTTTTCAAATAAAAGGCGAATTGAGTCTATCGATTTTTATTATGTTAATTTTAGAAGGTTATGATAAATTATCGCAAAGATGTGTATCACCATTCTTGAGTATTTTTTACGAAGATGGGTGAGAGATGAATAAGGATTGTCGTTGGAGAGTCGCTAAAGGTAGCATTCAAACTTTTAAGAGAAATTTGATGACTAGTATAGATCATTTGTTCAATCCATGCGTCAGTTGCAAGTGTGCTACAAGTAAGTAAGTTACCGTCAGTTATTAAAGTCAGTTTTTGGATAGATGAAGAACAAAGTCATCAGGAAAGTCGCATAGTTTTGAATGAAGCCATTTCACATATCACAGAGGGAAGAGTCAGTCCAATAGCATCGTCTCTCTGTTCGAACTGGGATAGTACATCAAGCTCACAAAAATGTTATTATTTGCGAAAAGTATGCCAGGTTTTCTCTGCGGTTCTCTCAACAATTGCTCCAGATCAAGAAGATGAAGTATTTGAAGCTCTGCTGCGTTCTTCAGGCTATGACATTAGGGACTTTATGAACCAGAACGCGACGCAGTTTGAAAACACCGAAACCGAGAAGGGCCCGGGGCGAGAACGCCGTCACGAGTGCGGGAAAAACAAAGTTACGGATGCGAAGGCGACAACAGAGACAGTACAGCTGTGCAAATCCTCTTAACTCCGCTAAACACATTTTCGTTTTATAGCTGGTGTTATACATCATAAATGGCAACATTCAGAGAGGCAAGGGAAGCTTTATTGTTTGCCTATCAAGATGGAAGCATTGATGATACAGAGTTTGCCCTGTTGTACGATTTAAATTCTTCTGAAAATCTCGAATTTCCTTATTGGAAGTATGGTCGCTTCGATCTTGATTCTATGACAGATGATGAGTGTAAGACTGAGTTTCGGTTTTTCAAGAACGATATTTATTTACTCGGAGAAGTTCTTGATATTCCAGACATAATGAAATGCCCCAATGGCGTTCTTGTGGACGGAACGGAGGCTTTGAGTGTGCTGTTGAAGCGTTTTGCATACCCGTGTCGATTTGCAGATATGGTTGCTCGATTCGGGAGACCAGTTCCACAACTTTGCATGATTACAAACCGAATGATGGACTATTTGTTCGATGAATATAGCCACCTTCTCGCAGATTTAAATCAGCAATGGCTTTCCAGGGACCGTCTCCGTCATTTTGCTGCCACTATACATGATAAAGGAGCTCCACTCGAAAACTGTTGGGGTTTCATAGACGGAACAGTGAGACCCTTATGTAAGCCAGATGAAAACCAAAGAATTCTCTATAACGGACATAAAAGGGTGCATGGGATAAAGTTTCAGTCCGTAGTTGCTCCAAATGGGCTTATCGCAAGTCTGTTTGGTCCAGTCGAGGGCAGGAGACACGATAGTGGTATGCTAGTCGACTCAGGACTTCTGCAAGAATTATCGCATTACTCGTTTGCACCGGACGGGACACCCTTATGCGTTTATGGCGACCCTGCCTACCCTTTGCGTGTCCACTTACAAGGGCCCTTCAAAGGCGCTCATTTGACACCAGCAGAGCAACAGTTCAACAAGGCCATGAGCCAAGTCAGAGTTTCGGTAGAATGGCTATTTGGGGACATTGTTAACTACTTTGCATTCCTAGATTTCAAGAAAAACTTAAAAATCGGCTTAAGTCCAGTTGGCAAAATGTACATTGTGTGTGCGCTCTTGAGAAACGCTCACAGTTGTCTTTATCAATCAAGTACTTCGAAGTTTTTTGGAATAGATCCACCCCAAATCCAGGACTATTTCAATTAGGTTTCTGAGGTTCAATGTATTCTGCAGTTATTACTCACTTTCAAAAAATTATACAGCCATACATTTGCACTGTGGTCATTATAACACAACGGGGAAGGAGGAAAAGTCATAGAAAAATATATCGAGTCTAATGCAATATATAACATAAAATTGTAATGGCTGCAACCTACTGACCACCCGCCCCTACCCCTTATCCTGCTTTTTAGTAATTATTAATGACCACAGCCTTAGGACTGAATTACAACTCACAATTTTCTCAATACAACTTGATTGTGTCTTAATCATTAAACCGATTTTAGTGAAGAGTACTGTTAACCCTACAAGGGAGATTTTAAAATTAGAAATGTGAGATTAATATTTGGCCTTAACATACCCCCTTCCCTAGATTCCCCAGCCCTTTTTATCCTAGGGAGGTTTTTAAAACCTGTTTTCGAACACACAAAGTATCACTAGTTTCTTTTATAGCAGACTGTAAATACAGAATTTTATTGCAGTTTACGCAACAGATTGCAAATTTTCAAAAACATTATTCAACTATTCTAGACAAAAAATATTTTCTAATATGCCACCATCCAATGAGATAACTGCAATAACAGAACATAACAAAAGGCGGGCTCCTCGGCCAAGAAAAATGCGTTGCCACTGTTGAAATACAAACATTGATCGCTGACAGAAAACGTTGGTGTTGACTCTTGTCAAAACAAAGACAATAGTTAATAAAATATACAAACTGGTTTTCAAAATCAAGCGACAGCTATACCAGCAATACTGGTGAATTTTAAGTGAATTAGGTAGCTATTTGTTCACAAGTTTGTCCAACAAACTCATCAGTGCTTTAGTTTGGTCTTGTTGCTGTCTCAACATCAGTTGTTGTGACGCCAAGAGTTGCTGTTGCTGCTGTTGTTGTTGTTCTTGCATTAGCCGCATCATTTCACTTTGTTGTTGCTGAAACTGGCGTTGCTGATCAATGCTCGCCTGTAGACGTTTTGCATCCAAATCGTGTTGCTCTTTTTTCAGCTGGAGTTCCTCAAGTTTAAGTTCCTGGTCTTTTTCCGCTTTTTTGGACAGGAACAACATGGTCTCGCTGCCACTTCTCCGTTCTCTTTTCTTTACTTTTTCCTGATCATTTTCGCCTGAGTGTCTCTTCATCGTCTCCGACACTTTCTCAAGTGCTTTAAGTCTCATATCTGTGGCCTTTGCCTTCTCTTTTTCAGCCTTTCCTTTCACACTTTCGTCGTCCTCTTTCATTTCTGCATCAGCTGTTTCTTCGAGAGCCATAATTTCTTCCACCAAGTTTTCAAGTTCTGTGGGCTCGGGCAGCGCGATGCCCGAGCTCCTTTCCTCAGCTCTCAATTTCTTTTTGATTCGGTTAATTAAAATACCCACATGATCCCTTACGGACCTTTTATCCACAGCAAAGACAGGCTTGGAACAGGTATTCAAAGTGTTGGCTATTCTATCCCAAATAACGCTTCTTTGTGACGAACCCTTTCTTGTTTTGAACGGATTCTCGGAAACGACCTCTCTGCATAACAGGACATCGTGCTCGCTTGTCCAGAACATCACATTACTGCATGAAAAAAAGAACAGTCTGTTTTAGTTTGTTTTCAATGAAGAACATAAATATAAAGTTTAAACTCATTTTAATCTTATATTTCAGCAGGACAGGAAATTGAATCTTCTAATAAACTAAATTGGACTTACTTGCCAGTTTTCGATTTTGGTATCGAACTCGGTGGGTCTGCGTGTTGTCCATTCATCATAGCGGTAACCAATTGACCTGCAGTAAAACGCAAATTAAAATGTTTGTTTGGTATTTTTTTTACAATAAATAACATTTTCATGGACTTAGAAAAACTGTTTTGCCTATAAGGTAGCAAAAGAAAATTTAATTCTAGGTCAAATTCAGTAGAAACTACTCACGTTTTCTGGAAACGCTGCAAGTGCCAACCTCGTGTTCTGAACGTAAAGAAGACGCGTTGCAGTTTAGCGCCAAGCATGCGCAGTGAAGCACTTTGTGAGCAAATTACTTCCGGTGACGTTTCAGGCTGCGTCGGGTTCTGGTTCGTAAAGTCCCCATTCAAGAGAAAACCCGCGATGATGTTAAGGAAAATGCTTTTAGCAACGAAATTCCACTTTTGCTTGAAGCTTACAACCAATCTGAAAGTCGTCATACTCGACTACAAATTCTATCTATGTTTTCCAGACATCTTTCGAAACAGGAACTCCAGGAGATGATTACAGGTCTTAGTAAATGGCAAATCGATCGTGCTCGGCGTCATGCCCCTAAAGAAAGACCAGGGAATCAAGTGGTACCGATACCGATAAAACGAACACGCCTTGATCCCGTAAAGACAAGCCACTTTGTGAACTTTATCGCCAGACCAAATTTGCTTCAGGACGTTGCTTATGGCACTAAGGAGCTGAAGCTTGATTCGGGAGAAAAAATCACTATTCCAAACGTAATCAGGACAATGGTTTCCTCCCGGTTAATAAGACAATACATCTCGTTTTGCCAAGAGACAGGTTTTGAACCTGCAAGTGAACGAACTTTGTACAGGATAATTGACGTTTGTTCCACTTCCAAGCAGAAATCAATGCAGGGGCTGGATTATTTTTCAACGGAAGGAGCACAAGCGTTTGAAACCCTCCAAATTGTCGTCAATACTCTTGAGAAGGGAGGCACTGATTCGACTTGGGCTAGGGAGATGTCTAAAACGCTGCAGGAGACCAAAAGATATTTGAAAACCGATTACAAAAGTCACGTGGGACAAGAGGAGAGATGCGCGGATCACTGCACGAATTTTAGTCTCAGTGACCCTCAGAACGAGGCCTTCAGGCAGCAGTGCGACCACATTCACAATGAATTATGCAACTATTGCTGCAAACTGGATGAAGTTCTCAGTAACATTATGAACATGATAAATTGTCCAAATGTGACTCTCACAGACCAACAGCAGAGTCAAGTGGCGTTTGACCTTACCCATGCAGTGGAAGCAATCCACGATTGGAAAGCTCATCTTCTTCGATCCATTAACCAAGAACAAGCTAAGCAGGACGTTCTCAGTGCATTGACTGACGACAGCGTTTTAATCATAATGGACTGGGCCATGAAGTACCTTCCGAAAAGATACAGAGAACAAATGAGCGACTTTTATGGTAAACGGGGGAAGAGTTGGCATGTTGCTTGTGTTATTTTCAGGTCTGGTAGTGAAAGTCACTCGGTAGAAACCTTCGTTCATGTCTTCGATACTTGCACCCAAGACTGGTTTTCTGTTGTTTCTATTCTGGAGCACCTCCTTTCAACTATTAAAGAAGAGCACAAAAATGTATCGACGGCTTATCTTAAATCTGATAACGCAGGCTGCTACCACAATGCCTCATTAATTACTTCTCTCAAATCTATTGGAGAAACAGCAGGAATTCACGTTCGAAGATTTGACTTCTCTGACCCACAGTCAGGGAAGGACATTTGTGATTGCAAAATAGCACCGATGAAAGGGCATATCCAGAGATGGGTCGATGAAAGGCACGATGTAATTACCGCAGGTGACATGAAGGAAGCGCTGGATTCTCATGGTGGAGTGCGTGGATGTAGGGTGGCAGTATCGGAGGTTGATATTTCAAAGGCGAGTGAGACGGTAGAATGGAAAGGGATAAGTACGTTGTTCAATTTTGAGTTTTTAACTACAGGAATCAAGGCGTGGAAGGCTTATGGAGTCAGTGAGGGTCAGCTGTTTTTATATGAGAACCTAACTCAGTGTCCGCAAGGACCAACATGTCTTCGCGTCATTATCCCTTTTACGACCAACAAGGCAAAGGCTCAGCCAAGTTTGATGTCGAAAACAAAAGGTCCTGTAATATGTGAGGATCTTTTTATGTGTGAAGAGGAAGGATGTGTCGCCTTCATTTCTACCCAAAGCGATCTACAAGTTCACATGGACACTGGACGACATATCACGGTTATGGAACGTGAAAGTACTTACGATTTGGCACGAAAAAAGTGGGCAGAAAAAGTGACAGGAGTTCAACTATCGCACTTTACTGGAAAAGCAGGAGTAACACAAGAAGGCAGCGGCACGGTCACCTTATCAAGGAAAGAACCACTCCAGGGCTGGGCTTTAAAGAAGCAAAGGAAAGGCCAGCGAGCAACCCAGAATGTGAAGAACTTCCTGCTTGAAAAGTTCAATAGTGGAGTAGAAACAGGTAACTCGACTAACAAATTTTTCCGCTTTACCCTTTGCGGTTTGGTTTTTATTTGAACTACTGCTTTTAAACGTAAGGTAAATCAAGTGTATAGAGAGCAAGTTGAAATAAAAACCAATCATGGCCAGAAATTGAGGACAAACTGGCGCTGGAGCATGCTCGTCATTTACTTTTCCCGTTCTTTAAATATGGCGACCATATGAAGGATGAATGGGGAGAAAAGAACTTTTAAGGATAAATAAAGTTTGACGAAGAATCACTCACCTCCCCACGTCTAAACCTTCGCAAGGCGATCGTGGCTTTCAGTCATGTTAATTTGGCAATGTGTCAAGCTCCCAAAGTTGACTCGTGAGTCACCATAAAAAGACGGCTTTCGTTGCCATACAAGAGTCTGTAATATTGCCTAAGCGCTTCTCTTCAAGCAAGAAAAAAAGGTAAATTATATGTCGGTGTTTCCTCCTTTCCCACGTCCTGTTTCTTGAGGGATATGTTTATCTTCATTTTTGTAGGGTTTTAGAGGCCTAACTTCTTTGCTAAACCAGTTCGTTTTTTCCGTGAAATATAGCAATTCCATAGAGTGAATCTCTGCACCATTACTGCACGAAGCGACCGAAAAAGAAGGCACTTTGGAGACTTTTTCAAACGATAACTTCGATCAGCCGCCATTTTCAAAACAGAGAGGTTACCAAGCCAGAGTGACACAGGGAGCCCCGTTTTGTCACGATCGGACGATCACGGGAAAGCATCAGCCGAGAGTTGATGCTTGTCTAATAGGGACTCAGGGTAGATTTTGCACAGCTTGGACTTTAGAACCAGTGTTAGGTTTCGCATTTATTTGTTTTTACATATTTCAAGTAGAATTACTTGAGGCTAGTAAATTGTTAATCTACAGCACGGTAAAAAGTATACGTTTGCTTCCCCGCCATTTTGCAAATGTATAAATCCTCATTAGTTATTAAAAATCCCTACAAATGAGCCTACGGTCAAACCGCTGGCTGTCCTCGATTTCTGGCCATGCCTCATAAATTTCTGCCCAATAAAATACCCCATGCAGTTAAAGAATATACGCAACTGAATTAAGCCCCTGAGGGGAACGTGTTTTAAGTTGAGTTCAGTCCTGTCAGTTCAGTTACAGTTCAGTCCTACCTCAGTGTATCGTGATGAAAAGCTTAAAAAATATGATTGTGTTCTTATAACAGGAAACAAAGAAGACCCAGTCAAAGTAGCAAATGAAATGCGCTCACTCAGGGATGATAGTGGAAAACTTCGTTTTGCTCTAGAGGAGTGGCGAACAGCAAAACAAATCAGCAGTTACTTTTCACGACTCGCTGCTGCACAACGTCAAAATAAGGCTGTTGGAAAACTCCTGGATGAAGCTGAAAACATTGACGAAAACGACTTGCAGACTTTGGAACAACGAGCAAAGGCTGAGGGAGTTACAAGAATCATTATACAATCAAGTGCATTTGCGTCATCCCATCATTTATGATGGTCACGACATTTGTAGTCTTGCTAGGCGGGGAAAATTACAGGCAAAGTTTAAGGTCGATCAACTAAAAGAGATCTGTGACACGTTTGGGGTAGTTATCGAAGGGCCTGTTGGTCGTAAGAAATCATATGTTACTCCCATTGAGGCCCTTGTTAAAACATGCAGCTGCCCTAAATAGGTTTTTTCTCCTTTACCCCGTCCAAATCCCTAAATAGCTCTTGTCTTAAAGGTAACACGCACTTGTTTGCGTCCGTGATTGTGGTTATACTCCTTTTGATTGTTTTAATTTCACACCTGGGATCATAATCAAGACTGGAGACTGTAACTAAAGCCATTTTCAAATAAATTTGACCGATACATGACGATTCGAGATCTTTTCTCATGTTACATAACCAGTTCACCATAGAAACACGTCCTCTATTATATTGTGATAATGCCTTTCAGTCTCTGTTCTTTATTATTGCTCCTGTTTGGCACAGCATAACTTTCTTTTATATAGATTGTAATGTTTCTATAATGTCAGTGATAGGAGCAGTACAATTGGAAGTTTACAGCTTGAAGGTTCCTTTTCGCTCACGATCACTGTTGTCAGTATTCACGAAAGAATTTGCCGTGTATAAGACAGATCTTATTTAGGGAAAAAAATGAACTTAAGAAAAATCAAAATTTTGAACTGCTAGGAAACAAAAAAACAAAACTAGAAGAAAAAAAATACAAACTTGGGCGTTAGATATTATCTGAAATTCATGAAAGTGAGATACGTAATTCAGTTACGCTTTCGTTGCACTATGTTGCATATAATTGTATAGACAGTTTGGTGCAGTGGGCAGTGGTTTTAGTTTTGGACAAGGAAATAAGGGATCACCAGGAACCACAGGCATCATTTTTTGTCTCTGCGCATAAAAATAACAGTTTATGGGAGATCCGGCGGGTACACAGACGCGGTCGGCTGTGATGGGAGAACGAAACAAAAAGATGATAGATTAAAAGCAAATTAAAGAAGCTAATTTTGATCATATGTGCACCGCAAAATAAAGGCTAAGAAAGGTGCTTTATCATATTATCTGA